ATGCACATATGGTAATGCATAGTTGCCGTAAGATCCTGCTGTGTAAGACTGTTGAGCGTTCATGACTTTGTAGTAATTATTTGAAGATCGAACAACCGGATGTCTACTTTTATGGATATTAATATGGCAATGCGTCCAGTAAACGCCATGTTCAGGAAAGGAGTAATGTTTATATCGTCCGATGAGGTTATCCGTGTTAGAAAGGGTTCAGGAGATATAAATGGAGACGAGTGGAGGCCAGAATCGTCTTGCGCGGATGGCTGTTTTATTATCGTAACAAGTTAATGTATAATAAAAGCTAATTCAGTGGCCTACACCTCTTGTTCAATCAATGACTTCAGAAATGTCTTAATAATCACAACTAACCCGCCCAAGAATTGTGTCGAATCGGGGAATACAACCGTGAAATATATGCATATTAATATAGTTATATACTTGGTTAAAGATATAAGCCAGAGCTTGAAGAAAGCATTACCCGGTAAATGATGGTCTTGATTCCCTATTAATATTAGGGATCTTACTAGTTGACGAATTTACCCGTAATATTGGAATTGGTTCTAGAACTCCATCCCAGGTCAACCAATGGATCTGGATGAAAATGAAGAAACAGAGCATCAGCATGAGCCAGCTGAAGACCGAGTTGAAGAATCATCCGATTCTGCCAATAAAAAACGGGTTAATGAAGATACTGATAAATCGGCTAAAAAATCTTCCTGTAAGAAAGCTAAGTGATTAAGGAAGAGGACTCTATCGTATTAAAAAGACTTATTCGGGAGTTATCTTCTGACACCACTCGAATTTCTGAAATTCAGGAAAAGAAAGGACTCAATAGAGAATCAATTCCCGAATTTTTTTTTTATCTGTATTTATTTTTGCGTTATTATTGTATTAATAAACAATCCTGTTAATGTACTTAATAATATCATTAAAAAGCACAAAAAAATTTTGGAAATAAGAACGGACAATCTACTTTAGCATTAAATGCAGGAGTAATTTATTAACTTGTATTTATGAAAAGAGTAAACCGCTATACGAAGCCGTAATCTTAGAGTCTTATGTGATCATAGCTGTTTAACTTGTTCAGATGTTAGCTTCTAAAACAATTCGCTGGATCTGGTACAAGTCGATAACAAAAGTGTTACCAACTATGGTTGCTGGGACTGCTGGAGCATATGCAAGTGGGATAGGAAACAACGGCAGATCCCAAAATACTTCGCTTATAGGAATTGTGATCTGAAAAGCCGGCAAGTTTGGCGCATTGCAATCAGCAGGATTATTGACGGGATCTCTTGAATATTTTTTAGCATTCCCAAAATCCCATCGTTGTGTGTCCATTCCTTGACGGTAAAGTTTTGCCTGAAATTTTAAAAAAAAAAACAGACTAATCAGATGAAATATGCAATACTTAATTTAGTATCATTGAATAATAATATATACCGTCATTGTTTTATAAAAATACCCAGTTACAGGTTCTCGAATCATTGGTCTTTCTTCTAAAATTTTGATACCAATGACAGCACGAACATATTTTTCTTTCATCCATCTCAAACATCTTTGTCCCAGACGACCAACATCTTGGCTGATAGCTATCTCACACACTATCCGTGCATGGGGATTTCCCTACATAAACCATAATAATAAACATCACATATAAAACAAAATACAATAATACACATCAAACTCAACATACACACAAATCACTGGGAGGAACAGGTATCACGGGGGAAGCGGAAGGTCTTGGAACAAAGGCTATATTTGGGTATACAGCAACATCAGGAGCTATTTTAAGCCCTGTTCCACCAGGCTCATAGTGAACTATATGAAAAATGATAAGAATATTGAAATTCAATACCAAGAAGCAAACTAGAATAGATTCTCTTACGAGGTTGTCCATAGACACATATGGGAGGGTTGACAACAACTCCATTATTAGGAACATTGAAATAACGTTGAAGCAGGGAGATAACAGCCTCATGTTTGGTTGAGGCCATACCAATTATAAACACATCACTAGTTTTCTTGTCGAACCAAAATTTGTATCCAGCTGACCCGTGGTTCTCAAGGAAGGTGTTATAATTTTTTATTGTGATTTTTGAGCCAATTTTCAAAGGCAAACTGCATTCCATACAAAATCAATATTAGGTGGTGCTCAAGTAATAAAATAATACACCCATAAACCCACCTGCTCTCTTCTACTGGCTTTGTTGGTAATTTTGGATACTTGTGTACAAGTTCATCAAATCTATCTAAATTCCTTGCCCACCAAATGTCGCTTGAATAACGTGCGTGAGACATATTCAAGAGTAAATAGTAAATAAAAGAAAACTGTGGAATATAATGATCAATTGATTAATTGTCTGATCGATGTGGTAACACCCAAAGATGTACATGGACAATGTCCGTCTTATATAGACAATGTCCTGCGGCTTGTGTCCGGTCATGTGTCACATTATATAAATTTTATTGGTACTTGTTTAAAAAAAATATGGAGAATGAGCGACTTGAATTTTCGATTTTTCATATGTTTTACTAGTAAAATCTTGCATCGTATTTATACTTTTGGCAGGGGGGTGTATATAGAATATGATAAATTTTGTGGTACATGGCCTTCTGCCTTATAAATGTAACTGTTGTCCTAAGGGTGGTGGGTGGGATAAGATAATTAATATTAATAGTAATAGTAATAGTAATAGTAAATAATATAATAATATAATACTAATACTAATAAAGGATTTCGAGTTAGTACAGAGGGAAATCTACCTATTACTATTAACGTTTGGTAAACAAAATCACACGATAATATGAAATTAATAGT